GAGAGAGAGAGAGAGATATCAAAGATTAGATTCTCTAACTATTTACTTCTACAAACGAATCCATTAATGTCGAACGCAGATAAACATCGCTCACTTCTTTGTAACATTCCCATTCGTATCCTCCGGGGCGTTTCTCTTCGGCGAACAAAAGCGCGAGATCGTTTCGCCGCGCCTATATTCAGCGGAATTATCGCGTGAGTAACACGCGAGATGACAATTCGCCGAGAAATTCGCGTCGATCTCCGGACCTTTCGAAAACCCTCGGCACCCTCGGCACCCTCGGCAAAAGAGGGGGGTCGGCCACCCCAATGCGTACCAATGAACGTCGCGCGCGGCCGGAAATGGCAGATGTGTACGGCGAGATCGATATAGAGAGAGATAGAAAGAGAGAGGAGCCCGTTCTAAGCGCGCACATCTCAACCCGTAGATTGTTCCCGTCGGAAAACAAAGCCCGACGCGACCGGAATGTGTCCGGATTCTCCTCTCCCTCTTCCCCCCCCCCCTCGTTTTCGCCGGCGTTGAGTTTCTGCGGAGCGACACGTGCTCGGTCTCGCTTGAAGAGTACTACCGAACGCGCGTTTTGCAGCAGTTACGACAATAGAGAGATTTATCGCCTTTCACGCGTGAATTGAAAACGTGTGGGCAGAAATCGCTTATTCTATCTAAACTTTAGATTCTTTTATTTTTCTTGCAGTTTAAAAAAAGAATAATTTGCACAAAAATAAATTTCAACATTATCTTCTAATGATTTTTAATTGAATCTATCTTCTAATTATTTTTGCTGCTTAAATAAAGGAAGAAAAAGAGTTCGCAGTGTTCTTCTTTCATTATTTCTGTGAGGAAAAGTTGAAGTACAAAGGCAATTTTACTCTCGAGATATCGTGGTTTCGTAGCTATATCGCGCGCTTTTCGGTGTAATCGTGTGTTATAATTAAATTCAGAGTTATAATTAAAGTATAGTAGCGTGGGCCTTGCCCGACTGACGCTAATTTACGCGTATCTAGAAAACTCGCTCGTCATTCTGCGGTCACGGAAATTATATTTGCGTTAACGCGTGACGTAATGCCATTTAATATCATAATTGTACAGAAATAGATACGTATAACAAACGTGTCTGGCGCTAGGCAGTTATTGTTGCAAATTGAGATTGCGATTGTTTATTATAAAATTATTTAATCATTCAAATAATATAATTAAACGCAATATTGTTAGACCAGTATTTCCAAAAATTCAGGAAACACATTTGATCGTAGTTTTATGTATAAAAAACCGACAAAATTTCGTCGCTTGTGTCAAAACTTGTTTCTTTTTATGGAAGAAACGCATGTTTTTGAGCGACTGAATATTCTCTCACAGAATTCAAGGGCGATTTACAGTAGATGTGCTCGTATCACGGTCGGATGGCCTCGTCGTCGGAATTTTATTACTTAATTAATTGAAGGCAGACGGGACGCGTGCCGCTACGATAGGTCGATTCGAATGAGGACGAGAGTTCACCAGAGAATCGCGTGCGTCGTGTTCTGCTATATAGAGTGTTCGACAATTAGTTGTATAACAAACGTAACAATGCAGATAAAAAATTAATTATTTTGCAAAAACATTCTCCAATAGCTGTTGTCTAATTAGATGGAAACTTTGTTTCGGAATTCCTATTTAACTTTATTCAATTAAATTTAGAAAACAGCATTTTTATTTTGCATTTTAATTGCATGACTCAAAAGCGCGTGGAGAAAAATCAATGTCGCGAACTACCTTGAATGTTAATTCCGTTTATCGCGATTGTCAGTATTGTCAGACGAATAATGCAACGGTAAAAATGCTGATGTAATGTTACGCGTTTAATGGTATAAATCGAGAGATCGTGTAGCGTAGAATTCTAAATTTTTTTCAGACGGAGTCATTTTATTTGCCTTTTGTCTTTTATCGTCATGTAAAGCAAAAAGTGACAGCGGCGTTGATGATCATATTTCTTTTCGAAATATACGCCTGCGAAATGTACGACGGGATATTCATAATATATGAATCGCGCAATAAATAATAATCTTGAAGTTTCATTCGCGAGATTTTGTACGAAACTTCGCGTCTGCGTATGTGGCTATTAAATTTTTAATTTACTATTAGATAATCACGATTTTAAGTAATTCTTCAATAAAATTCTTAATTTTTAATTGACAAATATTCGATCTTAACTGACAGAAATGGAAGGATTTCACAGAAGTTAAGTTCAAAGTAACGGAAGCCCCAGAATCTTTTGTTCGTTTGCACGTCACAAAGAATTCCGAGATTAGAAGTTTTAGATCTTGCCCGCAAAGGTGCTAACTTCGTACACACGTGTGCGCGAAATGTGTGAAATTTCAAACCGTTAGTGAACCGTGGTTGTTTGCGAAAATTGATCCCGCACCGACGAATTCCGCTTTACCACGTTTTTTTCCCTCGCATAGCGCAGATTTTGCGATTTTATCCGAAGACAATAATTAAGTACAAACTCGAAAAATATAAGAAACGTAATATACGTTATCTAAACGAAAACACGTGTTTTACAAATACGTCCACTTTTCTAATCTACACTGCAATCTAGAACAGCGACGCTCCGGTATGAGTACAGCTCAATTAATATAATTGCTTTCAATGACAAATGTTTCTGCTATGTGAAAAAAATATAATTGCGAAACACACACTTTGTGGAACGCTCGCGGTAGCAAATTGCAGGGAAAATGAATTAACATTTAATAAATTATATTTCCTCGGAGGCATTTGAGTTTTCGAGTGCCTTCGTCACTCCTTTTGCCACGTTTCTCCAGAGGCTTGTTGCGAAGGAAGCGGGCGAGTTAAACCAGTTGCTGGTTTCTCTGATGAACGAGAGTGGGGTAAAACTGAGTAAATGACAACGATGACGACAACGGCGACGACGATTACGATGAGAGAGGCCGATACCCTTTTACATATGCTCCCGCCTTGTTGAATCATATTTCTTTCGAATTACCGTGCGAGACACTCGATGAAAGCGACGTATTAGACAATATTTCTCGGAGTTACGCAATCTTACGGTCGCACAGGTTTTACGCGCTGCACTGCAAATACCAGTGGCTATAAAAATAATTATTAATTATTAACGATTATACAATTTCCTTATACACATCTTATTTTGTTCCGAAACTTAGGTTGCTTATGATATACTTATATATGCGCTGCAATTATTTTACACTCTATTACATTGATCTTATATTTGCTTATTAAATTATAAATGTCACTATCTGAAAGCTATAAACCGTCTCGTCTATACGTTTCCCGTTAGTTGGAACTCGGTTTTACGACGTTACATAATCGTATATACCAAGTGAAAAGAGGTTTATGTTCTATCGGCCGCGGCAATAAATCCGCCATGAGCGAGCGGGGTAGAATTTTGTCGTCATCGCCGTTCATGGCTTCTGTCTGGAATTTTAGAATTCGGTTATTAAATCGAACGGATTGCCACGAATGTTATTGAACTCGAGAAAAGCCAAAAGAAGTTTTCAAATGAGAAAAAGCATATTATATAAATCTCTTCGTCATTTTTCATATCCTTCATATTTAAAAATAAAAAATCTTATAATCATAGAAAATTGTTATAGTAATTGAAAATTACACTTTTTTCGGTATTCCGATAATCAATTATCCTTTTGCCGGCGAAATTCCAGTAATCCGCGTCGATAATTCAATCGACGGAGAAAACATGTTAAACGAGGGTCTTAAATGCTACTCGGGTGTGTAAAGTGCACAACGAAGCCCCGTGAATCCGCGAGACGACGGTGGTTTCTTCTCACGACCGCTGCCGCGACTCGATCTCGTACGAATTGTCCGTATCGGGTTACGGATGCAGAAAACAGGTTTGGGATCGCACGATCGCGGTTCTGCGAGCCCGCCGTCGCCACCGCCACCGCGTCGGGTTCGATAAAGAGCCAGGAGTTACTAATACACGATCGAGAAAAATGGAGATCCGACGGGCGCTCTTTGTCCACGACGGATTTTCGAAACACTGGGCCTGTTCTTTTTCGTAACACAC